GTCCCCAGCTGGAGTTGGTTGGTCATACTCAAACACAAGTTCAGATTACAACTCTGGAGACGCATCCACAGGTAAATAGAGTCACCTATTAATATATCTTTTATTCTTTTTGTTTCAACTTTTTTTAGTAAGTAAATCAGACTTTCATGTGGGCTGATAATGAATTTATATGTAATTATGCATGCATAAATTCAAACCTGTGTTACTAGAGTTGAGATTTAATAATTTTTCCATTTTGGCCAGCCAATGACACGCTTCTGTTCATGCTGAAATGGTACGAGAAGTTTCCTTCCTACAGATCAAGGGAGCTGTTTCTTACTGGAGAAAGCTATGCAGGTCCAACAAATAATAATCTTATCCCAATTTTAATAATGAATGTAATGAATTGAAACTCCCAAAACTTGGTCTCGAGTTTCAAAATATTCTATATAAAAGTACATTAGCTGACGTGATTTAGTTAAGATTAAACTTTTTATTCTATTATTTATGCACATGCAGATAACGTAATGTCATCATTCCTAACAGGGTTCATGCTATAAAATTATTGCACTAGTTTACTTTTTTATTTTCCTTTTGAAAAAGGTGTTTTTACCCTCCTTCCTTTCCTTTTGAAAAAAATGGTGTTTTTATCTAGTTAAAATATATTTTTGTTCGTGACACATTTAAATGTTATGCAGGACATTATATACCTCAGTTAACCAATGTTCTTTTGGACCACAATGCTCATTCAAATGGTTTCAAATTCAACATTAAAGGAGTTGCTGTAAGACCCTTTTTCATATGTAACATCTTTTAATCTACTCATTTATTTTTGGATTAGTCTCTGTTATCATACCGTTAATCTTTTACTTTGAAAGTTATTTTACTCCTTCCTCCTTGGCTTTCATTTGTTAGATTGGAAACCCGCTTCTGAAACTTGATCGTGATGCACAAGCAACATATGAATACTTCTGGTCACATGGCCTGATTTCTGATGAAATTGGCCTTGCCATTGCGAATGATTGCGATTTTGATGATTACGTCTTTGCAAGTACACACAATGTGTCTAAATCATGCAACGATGCAATAAATGAAGCAAATCAAATTGTTAGCAATTACATAAACAGCTATGATGTGATTTTGGATGTTTGTTATCCATCCATAGTTGAACAAGAACTGAGATTGAAAAAGATGGTACAATGCCTCTTTCATTTCTGTTCTATTGATACTTTCAAATTGTTATTCAAATAAATTCCGAACTAAATAATTTGATTACTCTAATGCAGGCTACTAAAATAAGCATAGGCGTAGATGTTTGTATGATTTATGAAAGAAGTTTTTATTTCAACCTCCCTGAGGTTCAGAAGGCTCTCCATGCAAACCGTACTAATCTTCCATACGAATGGTCGATGTGCAGTGGGTAAGTCATTCATATGTTGGTGTTAATTGCTGCATAAAAAAATTGTATAATATTCTCTGTTTCTTCTTCATCTTTTAATTTGAATTTCATAAACCTGTGTTTGTATATTCCAATATTTGTCAATAACATTCTCCGAAGTGTCTGAATCATTGTTTTCTACTTTTGTTACTGATGTCTAATCCTACATTTTCTTCATTGCAGTGTCTTGAATTATAGCGACACTGATCCTAACATCGACATCCTTCCAGTTCTCAAACGGATAGTTCAGAACCATATTCCAGTATGGGTTTTCAGGTAAATTAATTTCATTCAACAACACTCATCATGGTTGCCCTTGTGTATGCTATTTTAGTTACTTGTCGTACACTAATTATTAACGTTGTATTATCACAGTGGAGACCAAGATTCTGTCGTGCCATTACTAGGTTCTAGAACACTCATTCGTGAGCTAGCTCACGAGCTAAAGTTCAAGATTACTGTACCATATGGAGCATGGTTCCACAAAGGCCAGGTACATAAAAAGAATTTTTTTTTTTTTCCTGTTATAGTTTCCTGTGTTAATTTATGTTTACTTGATGGGATCTGTTTATATAAATATAGGTTGGGGGTTGGGTAACAGAGTATGGAAATTTGTTGACTTTTGCGACTGTAAGAGGAGCTGCTCACATGGTACCCTATGCACAACCTTCAAGAGCACTCCATCTCTTTAGTTCATTCGTACGTGGAAGGAGATTGCCAAACACCACACACCCTTCAATTGGTTATTAATTATGAACATTGAATGGATCTGCAGTCTAGTTCATTCTTAGATTTGAAGACTTTAGCCTAAAACAGGAAGCAGTGAATGAAAGAGAAAGGTGTATTGTTTAGAATTGTATGGAAGAAAGAGGGAAGAAAACAAAAGTGAAAAAGATTCCATTCTTCGACTCTATTGATTCCCACCCTATCTCTATACCTAGCTTGATGCTCTCCTGCATTGCATGTTCTTCAATCCTTGGAACCACATACGACCTTTATTCCTAAATGTCCAAGTTAAGGTATAAATTGTTATGCAATTTCATTATTAACATGTTTAAGCATGTGAAGAGAAAGTTTTGAATAAAACATCCATTTCAATGCGTTTTTGCTAGAACAAAGAACTAAAACAATGCTGTAAAAACGAATGTTAATAATATATTTGAATATTTAACTATTTGATTAAAGAACACGTAGTCATTAGCATTTATACCAACAAATTTTGGTAAGTAATGTTATACATAATTGAATAATGTAAAAAAAAAAATTTAAATTAAGATATGTTATATATATATTTCAAAATAAATAATATCATTATAAATACAACATCGTATTATATAAATATAATAGTTATGAAATAAAAGGTTATTTATAATTAGTACAAAATAATTAAAAAATATACATTTAAAAAAAATATAATAGACTCATTTCGATTCAAATTCGTTATCAAAATATATCAAATATAATTCTAAATCTTAAATATCTGCAAATAAGCTCAGGGTTATATGCCGAGTTAGTGGATCCTATTACTGATTATTGTTTAAGTGTTATAGATTTGATTATTTAACGTCACATATATAATGTGCTATAAAATATATTTTTAAAATATTTAAAACAACTTTTACTTTAAAAAAACTGATAATACGTCTCGTGTAAAAATTCTTCTTATAAAAAAGTAACACTTATAATATAGTATGTAATAGATTATTTTTTAATCAAAATTAAGTTAAAAAATATTTTTTTTATTTTCTAGGTCAAACTTAACTTTAGTCAAGATGGGAGGGAAGGGGACCAGAGGAGGCACAGTGCTCCCAGTATATTTAGGTATTTAATTACTTTAGAAGTAATTTTTATGTCCCCTAAAATTTATAAAAAAAAAATTATTGAAGTATGATACCTAAAAAGTGTCATGTTAGTTGGCACTTAGAGGGAAAGAGAGAAAAGAGAATAAAATAGAAGGATGAAATGATAGGTAATAGTAAAATATTAGACACTAACATGTCATTATTGACTTATCTTAAAGATTATTTCAATTAATTTTCTAAATAACATCTTAATATTCTCTAAACCGTTAATCTATTTTTCTCATTATAAACACTACACAGCTTGCGTGTATAATTGCAATACAACGTGTAATTAGTTGCATATTTGGAAGACGTGGTGATTTGAATGGTGCGTGAATATGGGAGAGGCTTCAAGAGAATGTGGTTCCTCCACGGATCCTCGTAGACCCAAAGTCTGGCTTAGAAGCGATGCTAGGCGCACCAACCTGGTGCGACGTCGCTTTCTCATTAACACTTGTCGACCACCTGTGTTGGCTGAAACGTTGGACTATGTCTTATGAGGTTGTGCTCATCGATCTCATTATATTGGTTGACACATCACGTGGAAGTGGAAGCTATTACACTTAGAGAAACACGTTATTTGCTTTGGGGGTTCAAATATTACATCATATTGTTGGAACAAATGCTTTCAAACCTAGTATTACTACTGTCAATTGTCGAATTTATTTACCAAAAACAGAAGAATGCGGCCATTTGAATCAGTTAATTAATTCTCACGAGACTTCCCTGGTTTAAAATTTCCGTATAAATTATTAAGAATTGTCGTGACGAAATAAAACAACACGCGACCAAACTTAATTTATTAATGAGTGACTTTAGTGGTGGGTGTGTCTCATTCATTGCTATCTCAGTCAAACCGAATCATCTCACGAAAGACACGAAAAATGTCAACAAGTGTGGCAACATTCACAGAAAAGAATTGAGTTGGACGCAAGCCAGCTTATTATTGTTGTTGAAAGTTACTTATGATCCATGGGAAATTATTCAGAAAGGGGATATAAAGGCAAAATAAGAAAATCATTATATAATTTTATATTTTTCCAACATTGGGCCAGGTTTTAGGCCAAGCCTTCTCATCCACTAAACTGTTACAGTATTTATTACCTTGATGAGTTTGTGGACGAAAAATAACACACAAAATTTGAGGTCGTTTCAGTAACTTGGTCTGTGTCCTGGTATGCACCGACAGATTTTAATATGCATTTACCGTTGCTTCTCTGTTTCTTTAAGCTCTTTTCTCTTAACTTAGCCTAACCAAACAAGCTATTCCATCAAGCCATCAATTAAAAGAATATGTTCTTAATGACCAAACTGCCCCTAACTCCAACTATATTTCCAACTTCTTTCCATGCTGCAAACACAAACAGCACCAACTTGTTCTTCAACCACAACCACAACCACCGCCACATTCTGCATTAAAACCCCCACCCCTCTCAGTTCCATAAAATCTATCTTACATTTCTGTTTTCCATATCATCACTCTGCTATTCCATTTCTCCAAATTTCTTATTTTCTAGTCTTGCATTTTGGGTTATAATAATTATAAATGTTCTGTTTTTGTGTTTAGTAAAATGGTTTCCCTGAATTTTGACATTGAAAGTAGCATTGTTTTCATTTTTTATAAGTGAAAGTACGTCCTTTTTTCACGTTTTTTTCTTAGAGAACTCATGCCTATAAGTTGTAAGGTAAGTAACTAGATGTAGAGCCTGATTGTTATTGTTTCTTTCCTGAGTACTTTTACAATGGATATATGGAATAGTTGGTGGGTTTTGCAAACTATGCAGTTGCTGGGTTTGTTTAGTTTTTGGATTTCATTTGCAAAGTTTAGGACTTTATTCTCAAGAGCTTTTGGTTATGGTCACAAAATTGTGAAGGGTGATAGCAGTGCCTGGATCTTTGTTTCCCTCAATGGGATGGTCACAGTTGGTTCTTTCTTATTCTTCCTCTTGGTCATTTCCTGGGCTTATTTTTTTGCGTTTCCCACTTCTCCCTCTGTAATTAAGAGTTATGAGACTTCCAACAGTTCTCACTCACCTGTTCAGAGTCATGAGATTCCCAACCGTTCTCACTCCTTTGTTCAGAGTCATGATATTCCCAATAGCTCTCACTCTTTTGCTCAGAGCTATGATGAGATTTTAAAATCCAATGTTTCAATGGACAAATGCAATGTGTTTGAAGGAAGTTGGGTAAGGGATGATAGCTACCCTTTGTATGATGCTTCTCACTGCCCCTTTGCAGAAAGGGGTTTTAATTGCCTTGCTAATGGGAGAAAAGATAGAGGTTACACAAAATGGAGGTGGAAGCCTAAGAACTGTGAGATTCCAAAGTTTGATGCCCGTAGAATACTAGAACAACTTCGTGGGAAAAGAGTGGTTTTTGTCGGTGATTCGTTGAGTAGGACGCAATGGGAGTCCATGATATGTTTGTTAATGACAGGAGTTGAGAATAAGAAGAGTGTCTATGAAATCAAAGGCAGCAAGATCACAAAACAGATAAGGTTTTTAGGTGTAAGGTTTAGTACTTTCGATGTTAGAATTGATTTTTATCGATCGGTCTTCCTGGTGAAGCCTGGTTCTGTGCCTAGACATGCACCCCAAAGGGTGAAGACTACACTGAGATTGGACAAGATTGATGATATTAGCCATGAGTGGATTGATTCTGACGTTCTTATATTCAATTCAGGTCACTGGTGGACACGGACTAAGCTTTTTGACATGTGAGTGGCTTCCTTCTACTAATAGTGATATATGATTTGCATGTTTCTGTAGACAGTAGAAATACATTTCATTACCATGACCTCGTTTTCTATTTCTTTTCATAATTCAACATTGAATCCACTCCTCAACATGTTTTATGATGCTACTTTTGGACTTAATTTTCGTCTTTGGATCCATAGAATGCATGTTTAGTGGCAGTTTACAAATCATACCTTGATAAAAATTACAAACAATTGTATTTGTTACTGCACCTACTGCAGTCATAATCGAAGGGCTGAAAATTTGTCAGCATATTTATTTTAACATAAAACCAATGAATAAATAAGGGTGGGGATCCTTTGTCCTGGGTGTTTAAAAAATATTCAACTTCCAATAGCTTTTCTTCAAATGGTAATCTCGTTCTTATGGTATAATTTTGGACACTTGCTGCAGAGAAATTTTGCCTTTCTGAATATTTGTCATGACTCATGAGTATTAATGGAAAGTTTGATCACATTTTGTCTGTTTCTAGAATATTTCTGGTCATGATTGAAAAGTTTTAATTAATGGTATTACTTGTATAAACCGGCTTCTAATTAAAGGAAAATATTCCGGTTTGGTAAAATACCAAATAATGATTTTGGCACTTGTTTATTGAGAGGTTACGGTGATTTTTGTCTTCATAATTCCTCAGATGAGATGTATATATACCATCAAAACTGACATAAATGAACTTCAACAAGATGATGTCTTATCACTAACTCTCTGATGAGATTTCTAAAATATGAAATTAGGCTTATTTCTATTAGTATGCTGGTATCTGATGATGAACAAATTGGTCATTGATCATCTATATATGTAAAACTGGTTTTGACTAAAACTATAGAGCTTCTTGCCACGAATTAGAAGATTGTTGTTGCTGACTTTCTTTTACTCCTTTGCGATGGGCTGAAGTTGGAACTGGATTGCTGAATTCTGCCTTGGATTTTCTTAAATTTTAACAGGACTAAAGGTAATGATGTAAAAAATATCACGGTGGAATAATGTTCTGATAATCAATAGCGACAACTTTTAATGTGCTTTATCTTACACTCTTTCTTTGAATCATCTATTACATACAACCAAAATAGTTGGTAGTTTATGAATATGCACATGGCTTAAGCCACCATCATCCTCATATTGTCATATATGGTACACTTGTTGACTTATTATTATCTTCAAAATCAGACCCCCTTGATTTCACGTTAGTTAACAGTATAAAATTTGTTACACAGTAGCACAGACTATGCATAGAAATCAAACCCTTCCTTGGACTTTGTTTGCTTCTACAGTTTGTCTGTTTCTTACATGACTAGGACTAAATTTTGTAATGAAGACTATGTATCAATCATTTGGTGCTAATCGTGATCTTCAGACAGGGGGTGGTATTTTCAGGTTGGTAACTCGCTAAAACTTGGAATGCCAATTAATTCTGGTTTCAAAACAGCTTTGCTCACCTGGGCATCTTGGATAGAGAATACAATCAATAAAAACAGGACAAGAGTTTTCTTCCGCACCTTTGAATCATCTCATTGGAGGTGGGTTGTGTTCAGCAATCTGAGACAATATCTAGCTATGAACCAAAATTAATATTTACTCTTCTTTAGGTAAACACTAGAGCCATCACACAATTCATAGTAATTGTTTGATTTTTGTGGCAGTGGACAGAACCATAATTCTTGCAAAGTGACTCAAAAGCCTTGGAAGAGAACTAATGGCAGGGAGAGAAGCCCAATTTCAGATATGATCAAGAAAGTTGTGAACAACATGAGTGGTCCTGTGACAGTTCTCCATGTTACACCAATGACTGCATATAGAAGTGATGGGCACGTGGGGACTTGGAGTGACAAGCCATCTGTGCCCGATTGTAGCCATTGGTGCTTACCTGGTGTTCCTGATATGTGGAACGAAATTCTCCTCTCATATTTGCTACCAAAAGAAGAGGCAAATTAACATGATAGCCCTTGTATCATCTTAGTACACACTTCACTTGTAGTCAACACCAACCTTCTTGTCCTTTAAAATCACGGACTACCAAACTTGTACCATGTAAATGAATAATAATGTTTATACAGAGTAATTGTCATTTGCCAATAACTAAAAAATAAAACAAAATTATTATAGATTAAAGTGTTTCTGTGAAATAAAATATTAAAAGTAAGAATGTTATTTGCGAAATCAACATCTATAGTGTCTGTGAAAGAATTTGAGTCCACATTTATATAAGGAATAAATAATTAATTATCATAATTAAATAATCATTATTTTAAGGTTACTAAAATAATAAGGATCAAACACTATAAGCAGTTATTCGAATTGGTGTATTTTTATAAATTAGTATTATTGATTACAATTATAATAAATTGATTCACTCTGTAAATATATTTTATATGGTCATTTGATTCATCATAGATTATAAGGCTACTAATTTTTTAATAATTGTTTTAAAATTTGTACTTCAAGAATGAATTTCAATTAAGACAATGGAAAGCCCAACAAAAGAATTGACAATGGAAAAAGATTCCGAGGACGTGTTAAGATTAAACTCAGTGCACGAAAATAAAAAATTGAAATTATAAGTGGTGCTAAGTTTGCGCAAAGAAATAATATTTTTATTTAATGTGGATAACTTATTGTGAAGTAATTATATATATAATGATCGACAAATTTACATATTTATGTTATTAAAAGGGTTATAACATAATTATGAAAGAACACACGTACACCTACTACATGGATATGATTCTCAAAATAGGTTATTTGGTCAGTCTGGTTAAAATAAAAATAATTGATTATTGAGGATGATATATATATATATATATATATATATATATATATATATATATATATATATATATATATATATATATATATATATATATATATTAAAATAAATCATAATTTTGTTTAAGTCTAACTTTATGTTACAGATTATCTTCTCTGATTAAAAATTAAAAGAATTATAAATACATATGTATTAAAATAATTAATTAAAAAATATATTTTAAAAATTTAAGTTATATTAATAAAATTAATTTTTATTTTATATATAATTTAATATATATATATATATATAAATTATAAAAGAATTAGTTTATTTTTAAAATAAAAATTAAACACTTATTCTTCTTCATTATATATTTTTTAATAATTTAAAATAATAATTCATCAATATTTTAATAAAATTAATTTATAATATATATTTTTAATAAAATAATATTATTTTATTTCTATTTTTATTTTTAAAAATTATTATAAATTTATAAAACATTTTAATTCACAACCCTACAAAATTTAAATTTATTAAAATCATAATCTTAAACTATCAAAATAGTGATATTTCTTCTAGGAGAGATTCTCGAGCACCCTTTATCCTTAGAAGGTATCAAAATAGGTTTACTCAACCTACCAATCCAAAGCTCTTGAAAATAAATCATGTTAGGTAAAAAGTATTGTAACTTAAATTGAATAAAATCTATTTTACTCAAACTTATTTAAGTCATAGTTTACATGGGCTTAAATGAGGTTAGCTCGTACATTTATGGATAAGTTTGTTTTATAGAATAATAATAATTTTTTAAATAAAAATAAAAAGTACTATTATTTTATTAAAAAATATATATTATTATTAATTAATTTGATGATGAAAATATTAGAATAAATATATGGCAACCACTTATTCTAAGATTTAATGAATGAGATTAATTATTATTTTATATTAACAAATTAATAATAATGAATAAAGAATAAGTTTTTAATTTTTATTTGGAGATTAAATAAATATATTATTTTATAATTTATATATTAAATCATTATATCTTAAATATAAACTAATTTTATTAATATGATTTAAATTTTAAAAATATATTTTTATTTTTATTTTTGTTTAAATATTTTTTAATTAATTAATTTGGTATAAATGTGATAATATTTTTTAAAATTTCAATTAGGTTAAGATTGGTATGTTAACTTATTAGCCTAGCATATAAGATCATATTAAATTATAAATTTGTTGTTTATTTGTAAATATAGGTAAGATCAGGATTATCCAATTTTTTTCTATTTAACCCGTTCAGATCAAACCAAACTAGACCAGATAGTCCATTCTTATAATTTTAATGATTAGGAATAGTAAAATGGGGATAATCCATCCCATTTTTACTCATCAATAATATTATTTTATAAATAAATTATATATATATATATGTATTTTTTAAAATAATATATCTTTAATTATATAAATAATTTTTTATTTATTAATTAATATTTTTATTAAATAAATTAAAAAATATCATATTTATGTATTAAAATAACTAATTATAATTAATAATTTTAAATTTAATTAATTAATTTTTATAATTTAAATTATAATATTATAATATATTTACATATTTTAATAATCATAATAAAAAAATATACTATTTTTAATTATAATTATTTTAATTTTTATTTTAATATATAAATATCGTCTCGAACTAATCTTATGTTGGGTCGGCTGATCGAACAGTATACAATACAAGAGTAGCATGCAGTTTGATGTGTGGACACACTATCCATAGAAGACTTTTGGTGGATTAGTAAGCAAAATTTGTAATTAAGTGTAGGCAAACCCTGTCTTTAGAACACTTCTGTTGTATCAATATTGAAAAGTCTTAATTAAATTGAGCACTCCTTACCAGAAGGGTTGTGTTTTAAAAAAACTTATGACTTCTTTGAGGCCATGGAGAGATCAGAGAGAATTTCACATTCTTATTGTGTCAGATAGAATTCTGAGATTTTCTTCAAATATTAAGAGTGTATTAATGCCATAAATTTTATCTTTAAAACTCGTTTCCTACGCAAACTTTTAGTGTCTTAATCTTGTTTTCTTTGGGCTTCGTCTCTGCATTTACTCATTATTCTCTGTATTTCTTCTGGTTCTATGTGGTTTTATGTCTTTTACCATCCACACAGTAGGAACATTTAAAAATTACAATGGGGTAATATTAACCATGTTACAACTGCATTTTGATTTGGCCTTGATCACTTCCATTTTTAAAAACAAATAACTTAGTGCAAAGGAGTTTAGGTAATTTGTACAAACAGTCAAACACCGTATTCAGCTTTAAAGGTGGATATATATTTCTTTTTTCCTCAAGAAATAATTTCCCTTAAATTACCACAAGAACTAATAGACAAAACGGCATTTTATTTATCGTGCATTAGACAATAACAGCAGCAAAAGCCCCTACCATTCGCTACACTCAAACTTACAGAAATTCTCACAGATTCAATAATGCTAAAGGGATTTGTATATTATTTTCAGAACCAGAAAAGGAACTAAGTCCCTCCACAGGGACTATGTCGTCATTGTTTTTATAGTTCTACTCTCCCATACGAATGATGCATCTGATGGACTCTCCTTTCAGCATGTAATCAAAAGCTTTGTTAATTTCTGAGAATGCAACTGTGTGAGTGATGAATTTGTCCAGTTCCAACTCCTGCAGATAAGACCACATTGGCAAATAAGACATCAATATGAATGTCCTTACAGAAAGTAAAAATCAATGAATATGTATATAAAGCTTACCCCATTCATGTACTTCTCCACAACTGAAGGAAGATCAGTGCGGGGTTTGTAGTTACCATAGAAGGTACCCTTAAGAGTCCTCTCGTTCAAGAAATTCATTGGATGAGTTTTGAATGCATCATCTTTATTTGGCACTCCAACAAGTACAGCAACACCCCAACCCTGAAGAAATAATCAAGGATCGGCCTTAGAAGCTTCATATAAAATTTTTAGCATCAAATAGAACAAATAAGTTTTGATTTATGTACATCGTGAACACATTCGAATGCTGAGATCATGGCCTGGATGCTGCCAGTACATTCAACAGCACGATCCACACCCCCATTTGTCATTTCTGCAATTACCTGGACACCAACATTCACATCTCAATCAACATAAAAAAAAAAAAAAAAACATCGAAAAAATGCAGCTTTAAGAGACACAAGAAATATAATTAAGTTTACTAATTTGTCCACGAACTAACCTGTTGTACAGGTTTGTCATGATCTTTTGGGTTCACAAATTCATTGACCCCAAACTTCTTAGCTGTCAAGAAGAACAAAAATAAGAAATGCCATCAGTATGTGAATGGCCATTTAATATATGCTCAGCTGAATTCCTTCATTTATTGGAAGAAGAAACCACTCTACCTTCTTCAAATCGGCTAGAAACTAAATCAACCCCAATGATTCTTGATGCACCAGAAATCCTTGCCCCTTCAGCAGCCTATAATTTGGATAAAAAAATACGAGCAGAAGTTAACATTGTACTTTTATCATTTGCATAATAACTACGACGCTAAAAGGCATAAGGTTAACATACAGCAAGGCCAACAGCTCCAAGTCCAAAAATGGCAACAGAAGAACCAGGTTTTGGTTTTGCAACATTGACAGTAGCCCCAAGACCTACAAGCATGAATGAGAAAAACTGTTTGTTTGATGTTCACTAACATTATTATTCCAAAACTATCTCAAGGTCGTCAGGATCTTCCAAACCTGTGCATATTCCACAACTGAGAACACAAATTTTGTCAAGTGGGGCAGCAGGGTTGACTTTGGCAACACATCCAGCATGAACCACAGTGTATTCACTGAATGTAGAGGTACCAACAAAATGGTAAATAGGTTGTCCTTTTATAGAAAATCTTGTTTGACTATCATGGATCATGACACCCCGATCAGTGTTGATCCTCAGCAGATCACACATGTTGCTCTCCTCTGACTTACAATGTGAACATTCCCCACACTCCCCTGTAAACACAGGTAGGGCATGGTCCCCTGGTTTCAGATGAGTCACACCCTCACCTACGCTCTCCACAATCCTGAATAACAACATCAAGACAACATTATTGGTAACATGTATTTAATGTACATAATAGAAAAACTGAATGTTAGACCCAATTAGTCTGTAGAAACCAAATAGACTTCACAGAAATGAATCAACAGCCCAAATTAAAATCAAAGATTAATAATGTGCGATTCTGAGGGGAATATTTGGAAGAGAAACATACCCTCCAGCCTCATGACCAAAGATACGAGGAAACAATGGAGTCTGGCCCTGAAAGGAGGATACAAGAAAGATAAATCATGTTAAACTTATGAAAACTTATCGAATGTCTTGGTACATATCGATTAACTGATCTATTTCCCAGCATTTGCTTAGGTCAGATTAAGCAATATTTGGTAGGTCATAAAGGAAAATGGAAGTGATGTAAAAAGGTGTTCTTGCCTTGGCTTCCCAGAAGTAAACATCAGTGTGGCAAAGGGAGGTGTAGAGGATCTTCAAACGCACTTCACCAGCCTCTGGTGGTGCCACCTCTACCTCTTCAATCACCAGTGGCTTTCCTGCCTCCCATGCAACCGCAGCTACCACAGTCATTCATTTCAATCAACCCATTTAGTTAGTCCGTCCATTTCAAACAAAAGACAGCTCTTTTATCAGTATAACAAGATTTCAAGAGACGCAAAATAGATCCAACAAAACTAACTCCAAAATTCAAAGTTGAGAGAAGACCCAACTTTTTGTTCCCACGACAAAAGTTTCGTGAATTAAGGTTTCTCCGTATAATTAGTGACCAAAACATTGATGCATGATGAATATGTTAAAAAATATGAAAAAAAAAAAAAACCGAAAACTTTCTTAGAATAAAAGGACTAGAAGAATCTATGCTATGTATATCATCGGAATTGAAAACAGACAAGAACAAGATGAAACTGAGAGGAAGAGTGGGTGGGTCACCTTTGCATGTGATGACCTGGCCAGCTGTGCTCGACATAGCTAATGATAGTTGGTGAGAAGAAGATGAAAGAAGAAACGAAGATTGATGAATTTGTATTGACTGTGTTATGGAAGAAAAGAAAGTGAAGAATGTATTTATAGGAAAGAAAAAAGAAAACCACAATCCCACTCTGGTTGTGCTGCTGTTTAGTATTCAAGCGGCGCCTCATGGTGGCATCTTACATTATTATTTTTTGTGGTCCTCCAATATGAGGTAAAAAAGATCTTCAACTTGGAAATATTTCCTCTATATTAAAATAATAATAATAATAGATCTGTAACTGCCAACACAATACAACCCAACACAGTCCGTGGTTTTGATTTTAACTTTGGATGTTGTTTCTGACTCGTGACACTGACGCAACAAGTGGCAATTCTACCCTGCTATTCTCATTTTTCCAACACTCTCTCTCCCCAAGGCCATTTTCATAACTATTAGAAAGTACCAGGAAACACTATTAAATATTCAATTTTTATTCTAAAGTCATCATTTGTATTTATTTCGTCGCTGAAAGTTATTCCCCAAATGCGCTTTTCCTGTACGTGGACGTGTTTAAATTTAGTTCTAGTTATGTTTTACGGTTTTGATAAAATTAACTGTTTGACCTTTATAATTAAATAAATTTATTTAGTGTTTATATATTTTTTTGTTTGGTATTACTTAAAGAGAATGGAAAAGAAAAAATAAGTTTATTATTTAGATGGGTAAAAATGAAATTTATGTAAAAAAAATTCTACCTAAAACAATTCCATAAAAGGAAAAAAAAACGGAAATAGGAAAAATACTACTTCTTGATCGATTATTCCATTCCATAAGCGATTTTTTTACATATATAATATTATATATATATATATATATATATATATCAGAATATGTAGTGAGTATATTTACTCAATTGAACCTATTTATTGTTATGTTTGGAATTCGGTCAATTTCAATCTTAAATTTGTTATCTTTTTTAAATAAAAAATTAAATAAAAATATAATTAAAATAAAAAAATTATATAAAAATAAAAAAATAATATTAATAATAAAATTTTAATTTTAAAATTTAAATAATATTTATATGTAAAATAATAAAAATAATGTATTATTTAAATATATATTAAGTTATTTAAATATATTTAAATAATTATTAAAAATATTAAATAATAACTTTTTTATTATATTTATATATATATATATTTATTTATTTTTGAATAGGAAATTTAAAATTTATATATTTTTTTATTATATGAATTATTTAAGTTATAATTTTATAAAAAAATAGAATAAATAAAAATTTAATTTAGGTAATATATTAAAAAAATTAAATATTATATTATAAAAATTTATGTAATAGTTTTTATTTGATAAATTATAAATATTATATTAAAAAATTAATACTAAAATTATTTTTTTAAAATAATAAAGTAAAAATATTATTTAATTAGTTCAAAATTATTATTATTAATATAAAATAAACTTTAAAATAAAAATAATAAAAATTGACAGAATTTAATGTATAATATTAAAAATAACATAATCATTTATAATAAAAATTGAAAATTATTGACAATAATGTTAAGAAAATTTTAATCTTCAAAGTGGTGTCTAGTTCGATAACGAGGACGACGTTTATTACGTTTTGGATTTCGTCGGTATTGTTGTTCTTGAATTTCATGAGAAATTTGTGGAGGGTTTTCTTCTTCATGAACCTCCAGATTTTAGAATGTAGTTGAGGAATTACCTGGTTGGTTAGCATAATCTGGTTGGTAAAGAGAATTTATGTAAGCTTGAGTTGAAAAATCTACTCCAAATAAGTTTGAGAAGATATCCTCTGAGGTTGTTGCAAAAGAATGTCTTCTGTCAATTGTGTTTGGTTCTGGCGTCACAAATTGTTGAGGTAAGAAAACAAGTTGTTGAGGCTCCTCATACGATGATATGGAAGTTGCATCAGTTTCAAAAGTGGCTCCAGCCCGTGGTTGTTGGCGGACTCTTGGATCTTTAAGCAATTGTGGTACAGATAGAAAAATAATAGAATTGTCATTGTACCATTGTATGTATTCTATTGTGTGAAATAATGTGTTTTGCATTGAATGACCCACTAATGTCAATTAACGTCTATTATTCCATATATCAATCCAGTGAGCATGTTTTGTTATCCAATTTTCGTCATGTCTTCCCCTCATATCAATGTTGTGTAGGTCATCCAAATTATTTGGTGGAGAAGGGATTTCTTGGAATAAACCAAATTGTAACTTCACTCTATCAGATTGGTGTCATTCAACAATTGCAAAACAAATGATGGTTGTACATGTAGTCCACAATTGGGCATCCCTAAATGCTTGAATTGGGATTGATCTTTGCAAGTCCTTATATGGGGTCCATAAAAACTTCCACCAAAATTAAAAAAAAAAATGAATTAATAATTTTAAAAGAAGATTTACCTGATCAGTTTGAATGTGATCAAACATAGTTCTATACCCGACAACATCATTGTGAGGTACATTTCTAAAGTTTAACACTCTACCTCCGCTCCATTTGCAGACCAATGGGTATGTTGGTGGAAGTCTAGAAATTGGAGCAATATATGGCATGCGATGCCATGCCCAAGATTGTAAAAGTGATGCACAACCACTCATTGTTTTGGCTTTTACATTCGTTGCTCTACACATTTTCCTGTACAACACAGCTAAACAAGCATATCCCCAACTGTACATGGGAGTTACAAAACTTTGGGGGGGCCACGGCCCCCCTCAGCTCCCAAGAAGATCCGTCACTGGTGTCAACTATACATTTTCGGTACCCAATATGACTTGGGCCTGGAGTTAACAACTACACAGCTGTGGAGTTGAAGGATGATGAAGACATCGAAGCAATCTTCAACATACATGATTCAAATGTACTTCAATCAGGTATTGAACTATATATTACATTCGATGCATGTACTTTGTCATTTATCCAAGTCTCACAACCATAACTTTCACCCTCACATTACCCTATCCATGACGCGATAAACCCACATATAACAACAGATGATTTCAATTGGGAAAATGGCACTCAATCGTTCACCCAACTTTTAAGTTATCCTTTGACAAACCAAAATGAATTAGAATCACAACAAAGCCAACAACCACCCATAGAAGAAAATGCTATTGTGGGTATTCCAACAGAAGTTTTTTATCCTTTTAGTGAAGATGAAGACGAAATCCTCAGCCAAATTCCAGATGATGAAGAAGATGTACAAGTGCATCCACCTTCAAATATTCCTCCATCACAACCAAACATATCATACAACCTACCACAACATTTTCTCAACTTCCCAACTCATATACAAATAGATGATTTAGAGTTTGGCCATGTCCTAGATCGGGAAACAATAATTTATCCATCCGGAACATTATTCGTTGGTCAACGTTTCGCCACAAAAGAACAAGTGCAAGATGTTATCAACCGATTTCATATAGTAAACCATTGTACTTACAAGGTTCAACTATCAAGCCCGGTTAGGTTTGTCGTGCAATGTGTTCATATCGATTGTGAATGGAGATGTCGAGCAATATTGCGCACCAAAGACCAATATTGGGAAATAATGAAGTTGGAAGGGTAACACACATGTCTTGCACCTCTCATTTCACAGGATCATAACAAGTTGGGATTACGAATGATTTCCCAAACAATTCGTGACATTGCTGAGACTGATCCTTCAACACCTATCTCCACCATCATAGGACACATGAAATCAACTGTGGGTTATACCATCAGCTACCAAAAGGGATGGTTGGCCAAACAAATTGCCATCGAAAACATTTATGGCAACTGGGAGGATTCATATCATAAGTTACCTACTCTATTGCAAGCAATGGAATTGTATGTTCCGGGCTTTATTTGGAAGATGAGTACACAACCTGCGTACCAAAGTGAGGTGGTGGACAACAATTATATTTTCTTTAAGAGGTTATTTTGGACATTCAAACCATGTATTGATGGTTTTCGTCACTGCAAACCTATTGTTCAAGTTGATGGAACATTTTTATATGGAAAGTATAAAGGAACCTTATTGGTGGTAGTGGCACAAGACGAACGCAACAACATAATTCCAATTGCCTTTGCTATTGTAGAAGGTGAAACTAGTGATGCATGGTTCTTCTTTTTAAGAAACCTACGGAGGTACGTAACACCACAAGAGGGGTTGTGTCTCATTTCAGATCGTCACGAGTCCATAAGAAGTGCATATTGTAGACATGGAAGTGGTTGGACAGAAAACAATTATATGCATGTGTATTGCATTAGGCATATTGCACAAAATTTTATGCGACTTTTCAAAACAACTGCTCTCAAGAAGGATGTGGTCAATATGGGTAACTCTTTATTTTTCTTAAGTTTTTAATATCATTAATGCTTAATTTTCTTATTAATATTTTTTTTATATTTTGTTAGTTACTTATATTAATTTCACTTTAAAAATTTTTGTAGCATATGGCATGACTGAGCCTAGATTCTTTTACTATTACAACATAGTAAGAGATAATAACTTGGAAGCAGCACAATGGTTGGATGAGATTCCAAGAGATAAATGGACACTTGCATGGGACAACGGAAGAAGGTGGGGACACATGACAACAAACTTAGCGAGAATCAATTAATTCGAGTCCTAAAGAAAACAAGAAACCTCCCAATATGCTCCATGGTGATGGCAACATACACCCGTTGCAACAAATTCTTTACGGAAAGAGGTAGGGAGGTAGATGCCATGATCACAGCTGGTCATATATACTCCGAAGTTGCTTCAAAAACATTGCAAGATGCACACTCAAAGGCAAACACCCATAGAGTTATCAATTTCGATAGATCAAGCACAAGATTTGTAGTGGAGGAGACTGAACATCCGCGAGAAGTTCGACCAGTAGGGAGATTTACAGTTAGATTAGATGAGTTATGGTGTGATTGTGGGAAGTTTCAAAAAGTTCATATGTCATGCTCGCATGTACTTGCAGCATGCAAACACGCACACC